TATATTATTATCACGGGCTAACACAAGGTCGCGCCCAAGTAAGTGGTTATTCTCACGTGTATGTCTCGCTATTCTCACCCCCTCCCTTGTTTTACCGGAAATGACCCAAAAGGGAACAGGGCTGAGGTTACCAGGACTGATGCCCCACAGGATCATGTTGGTGTCCGAATAGACATAGATCTAGTATCTTGATCTTGTCACAGTCAGGTTTGTCAATTTGGAGCCAAATCCCAGAAATTTGGCTCTTTTGGATCTCGTCTGGCCGGTAGAATTTTATTTGGCTCTCTGCTCTTTTTTAGCTCAAACTCCAAATGTTCAAGAAGAAGGAGACAGAAGAGGCAAGAAAAAAAAAAAAGAAAGAATAAAAGCAAAAAAAATGAAAGTGAAGGAAAAAGCTTGGATTGCTTGATAATAAAATTATTAACTAGTGAACATGATTTAATGCCCTCGCCCATTTGGTCTGAATAATTTACAACCCTTCAACCGTCATGCAAGAGTATAAATTTTAATAGTCTCATGCTCGTGTCTCGACGTTCATACATGCTTTCTGTTCTTTGAACCATAATTGATTGTGTGCAGGCAGAGAGGCCTGCCATCGCAAGTGTGTAAACAACGAATGGTCCGGCCGCCGGCCGGTCCCACATCCCGCTTAGTAACGTCGGTAGTGAGCCTTTTTTTAAAATTGGAGAGCCGAAAAATGTTTATTATTCGTTCCCAACCACATGCGGTAAGCGACCAAGGGGCCTAGGTGAATTTATCGGCCTTCGAGAGGTCAGGGGGGAGTCTTGCCTCATGCCCACCCCGGGGAAGGAAGCTGTTCACACCAGGGGGGGGGGGGGGGGGGGGGGGGGATAGTGAGACTTAGGTTATTCTCACCCGGGGTGAGAATAAGGGTGGCCTTTATGTATACTATACTACTACTATCACAGCCATACACATAGGCCCCCTTTCTCTTTTCTCACCCGTGGTTAGAATAGAAGAGCAGTTGTAGGCCTTTCACCTGGGGTGAGAGGGCAAATCTTCTTGCTATTCTCACCTGGTGTGCGTTCACTACTTTCTGCATCGGCTCAGGCCGACCGCTCCGGGTGAGAGGGCGAGCCTTTTGGCTATTCAAAGTGCCACCTAGTGCACATTACAGAAAGTTTTTTATAATCCTTTGGTGGTATTGTTTGATACATTTTTGAAGGTTGCCAGGTTTTGACAAAGTTTGTCCTCCAAAATTAAAACAGCCTATCAGCAGTCTACCACATGTTACATGATGACTTTGGGAGGTTTGACATGGAATGATATAGGTCATAATGTACTTGCAGGTGAAATTTTATATCATACATGTAGCAAAATAGAGTGTCTTTTTTGATTACTAGTAGTGTGCCCAGTCCAGCACCATAATGATATAAATATAAATCAACCTGGCTTGATCCGATCTGATCATTAATATATATATATATATTTGATCAATGGGTATATAAGTGAGTTTATAAAATTGCTCTTATGGCAAGTATATTAGTATGTCATGTTCCCTGTGAGTCCAAAGTCTTCAGTTGTTGTGCACAATGTATCACAATTTTTAAAACGTTTTTTTCTTTTTCAGTCTCCTCACTTTGATGGCAAGGTAAGACAATGTCAATGTTTTGTCTTGATTTGTTTTATATTATAGGTATTTGCTGTTTTTTTTCCCATTTGTTTTCCCTACCACATCCTTTGTCTCTCATCTCAGCATCATATAACTGTTTACTCTTTTAAAAAGTATTGATTCCACCACAAACACCTTTGTAACAAGAAAGTATAGTATGGAAAGTGCACATGGTTTGTCATTTATTAAACACCATCAAAAGTAAGGCACCCATTGCAATGAAGTTTATTCTAGCACTGAAGCTGTAGTGTTTTATAGTTCATTTCAAGTTACTGTTAGTAATATAGGCCTATATGAAACTCAGCTTCATTGTCACAAGGCACAATGGGATATTGGAGCAAAAGGGGCTGTGCATGAAATGTATATAAGAGGTCTTTGGAGATGGGACTTGTACAGATGAGTGATGAAATGAGCAGTTGTTGTTATGATGTGTAGTGTGCTTGTCATGTTGTGCTTGATATGTTTATTTTGAACTTGGTTGTTTCACTAGTATGTGGGTGGTTGGCAGGTGCTCCGATGTGGTTTGCTCCTTCTTTTCTATCAAATATCTGTTTTCCTTTTTCTCTCCTTTTTTTGTGTGTTTTGTTACTCTCTTGTAACACCTCTAATCTTCGGCGCTTATATATACTAATGTGTTGCAAGTGGCGTGTAACTTTTACATAAAAATACTTTCAATTGTCTCTTGAAAGAGCACTCCTGGGTTGTTTTTTTTAAAGGCATGAAACTCTTGAAGACCTTTCAGGATTGAGAGCACACTCTTGGTATTTGCAGGTTCCTAACTGGTTTCATTATGCTTGCTTTTGGAAGAGGGCAAAGTGCCACAATGCTGATGATATTCATAACATTCACAGTCTAAGATGGGAGGATCAAGAGAAAATCAAAGCACAAATTGGAAAAGGTTTGTTGTACAGCTCATTAAAAAAAAGTGTAATTACTTTGGTAGTTCATGCATTGCACATGATTGAGCATGTTTTGTTTTCATTATATTTTGTGCTGCCGCATGCCATGTGAAGTCTTAGTTGGTAGTAGTAAGGGTCTTGTTAAGGGGGGAGCGCTACACATGGAGACTATCTCACTTATTAGAGGATCAAATTTTACCAAATTTCACACATACAACAAGCATAGTCAGGGGCAGAGCTGTTAAAGTACTTTTTAAAAAGTACTTAAGTACAAATTTAAGTACAATCTAAAAAATGTACTTAAGTACAGTAAAAGTACTTTCCTATAAAATGTACTTGAGTACAAGTACTTTTTAAAAAAGTACTTATGAGTACATTTTGAGTACTTTCTGCTAATATGCTAAAACACTTCAGCGCTTATGCAAAACATCATATTTTATAACTTATTCAGTATATTTGACAAATTAGGCTATTTATTACTAAAAATGTAAACAGTATACAAAGCATTTGAATATACAATGTACGCACTGAACGGTGGAAATGGTCCGTGAAGTTGAACAAAAAACAACCCAAACGAACAGACGCAACTAGTGGGTAAGTGATATTATGAATAGAACTTGTTTGAGCAAGACAATGTGATCAAATGTAAGTCAGTCCTAGAGGTCGGAAAGTTCTACAGAAAGAGTATCCAAATTGAAAAATGTAGATACAAAGTTGCTCTTAAGAAAACATAAAATTGATGAAAATGGCCCACATAGAAATGGAAAAGTGCATTGAATTCTTCATTAACAAATCCTCAAGGAATCAATGTAGCCTTAAGCAAAACCCACCCAAAAAAAGTTTAAAAGAAATTTAGGCACCCTAAAAATTGTTAGATACACATTGAGAACACAGTTTCAGTTTCAATTGATTATAGTGGTCTAACAGATTTTGGTCACACTATGTAGTCCACGGCGCCAACGGCAAACCAAAATACAATAGTTTCCTAGAGTCTAGTAAGAGTAGTGTAACCAAAGATTCTCTACTGCAGTAGTCTCCGCCTAAGATCCCAGTGCTCGGAAGCAAGGAAAATATGGGATCCTAGCCAACGAAGCCAAGGAAGAATCTACAGTGACCCATGAACTGACGTGACCCTTGGGTGGATTTATGACATGGCAAGCAAAGAGTGGTCAACCTTGATGACCAATCACAGTGGCATGAGGCATGCCATAAATAATATTATATATACACACTCATTAGCCTATCGTGAGTCTTGAGATCTTTATCTACGTTTATCCAGTTGCCCCTCCCCTTTACCTGTCCAACAATTTTAGCTTTCCATCTCTGATTGAGTCCCCCCCCCCCCCAACCTCCTTTGTCGTTACGCACCATTACGATGTGACCACACTAATTAAAATTCAGGTTGTCTCGCAAATTCGGAAAAAACTGCTTTCAATGGTCAGGGAAGAGTTCACAGTTTGATGTGATCCCGCCTGGAGCGAACTTGTAGGCCCTACCCACCCAGGGAGTGATGTAAGTTTAGGTGGTGAGGTCAGATGCGAGTGCGATGTTTTGGGAAAAGAAACGCATCGGTCAGTTCACACCTTGGTGTGATCTCGTCTGGAGCAAACACTGTACCGTTTCAAGGAGTTTTACAACGCTTGTGATCACATTCACGATAGTGGCTGATCTTTGAGGCGACGGGCCGTTCTTTGATCTCAACTTTTAACTCTTGGCGGTTGATCGGGTTTTTGTTCCGTAAATTATGATCAGAAATGCCTGCACTTACCCTTTCATTAAGCTACCAAAGTACTCAAAATGTACTTAAAAAGTACTCAAAAGTACTTTTATAAAAAGTATCGGAGTACAGTAAAAGTACTGGTTTAAAAAATGTACCGGAGTACAGTAAAAGTACCGAAAATTGTAACGTAAGTACAAGTACCGGAGTACTAGTACTCCGTTACTACCAGCTCTGGTCAGGGGTCTTAAAATCTTCAATCAAATTTCAGAAAAAGTTTTATTTCCATGGATATGACGGCCATATTGGATTTTGTTGACACGTCTTACGTAATGAATACAGCACTTTTTTTCATGGAAATCAATGTTCTTTTAGCCTGCATGTTAGCAAACAATAGATCTACAAATTTGTGTGATGAATTTTTCCTACATGGATCAGAAAATTTTTAATGAATTTTTTCCCTGAGGTAGTATTCAAATTTGCAAAAAATGTGAACAGGGTCCCCACCGGGTCGGGAAATCGGGGAAAAGTCGGGAATTTTGAGATGGGTCGGGAAAAAGTCGGGAATTTTGTGATGGGTCGGTAAGTCGGGAAAGGATAGGGCCTGTGCAATATTAGTAGTGTAGCTATCTAGATAGTATGGTTGATGAATCATGAAGAGGAAACGCAATTGAACCACTATGGCGGCAGGCGGAAGTGTATTTGTGACACCAAGGCTCGATCGGTAAGATTCAAGATCTACTTTTGCTTTTGCTTTCGTTGCCACCCAGCAAATTTCCGAATTTCTGGTAAAAGTCTGATAGATAACGCAACATTTGTAACACGCAGGTTGTGCATTACAAACGCTGTGTTGCCTTGAAAATAAATCAATATTAAAAATTTGTCCTCTGCTGTGAGTTGTGAAAAAAGAAAAGAAAAGAAAGTTCTTCAAGCGTCTTGTCACATTCGCCATCGTGACCGATCAATGAACCTGTGAGTGTGAGTACCGTCAGTCTGAGTGCTGTGAAGTATAGGACTCCGGAATGGGGGGGGGGTATTGCTTTTTAAAAATAAGATGCACCCAGGGAAGGGGATGT